GAATCACTAATTTGGCAGCCTTGCAAGCAACAAGTAAGGCAATTTAGTCGGATTCAATTGGAGGAGCCCTTAAGAAGAAGAATGATAGAGTGTCTGCTGTCATGACCATCCAGGAACATAGGCCAGACCAAATGTTAACATACTGAAGCCCATTACCCAAACCTTCCTACTATAGTTAGTATACTCAAATTCCTCAACCATATTACCAACCTTCACCTGCCCCTTACCCAATTTACACTACCCAAGCAACATATTATCCACCCAAAGCACCTGCCTATCCAAATCCATCACGATACCAACCCGCATATCCATCCCAATCACACTACCAACCATAAACCGTCCATCAAATACACCTAGACCCCGCCTAAACTTTGAAAAAAGACCAACCAAAACCTATACACATTTAGTCGAACCTTTAACCAAACTATATGAACGGTTGAGAACCGCAGGAGTACTCCAACCAATCCAAGGACGAATTCTCGATCCCCTTCCTGGATGGTATGACGAGACCAAACATTGTGCATATCACTCCAGAGCTACTGGACATGATACCAAAATTTTCCTTACTCTCAAAGACAAGATTGAAGCATTGATCAAAGATGGAATCATTCAACTCAAAGGTACTGCCCCTAATGTAAACCACAATCCGCTACCAAACCATGGAAATGCTAATGTGAACATGATCACCATTGATGAAGAATTCAACATGGAAGGGAACATAGTACCAGTAAAAGTTGAGAAGAGTGTTCGACATCGGCCTTTATTGCTCCCATAATCACAATCCAACCAATTGAAGTGGGAGTTCTTGCTCCCAAGCCTAAGATCACGACTCGGGTTGCTCAATCATCTCTTTTTTATACCAAAGAAATTATGTGGGATTACTCGGCTGATACAAGGGCCAAAGGAAAAGGAAAGATAGTTATAGAAGTTGTTGCTGTAGAAATGACTAGATCTGGGTGTTGCTATGCCCTTGAAGAAATTGTACAAGGAGGACCAAACAAGGAAAACAATAAAAAAAAGAGTTGTGACTGAGGCTGAAGTGGAAGATTTATGGAGGAAGATGCCAACTAAGGAATATTCTATTGTTGAACAGTTGAAGTAAAGTCCCGCTCAAATTTCCTTAATGGCCTTACAAATGAATTTTGCAACTCATAAGAGCGCTTTGGTGAAGGTTTTAAATGAAGCTTATGTTCTAGCCAAGACCACTAGTGAGAATTTTTCTGCCATGGTAGGGAAAGTTTTGGAGGCTAACAAAGTCACCTTTCATGAAGATGAATTATTGCCTGAAGGTTTGAGACATAACAAAGTGTTGAACATTACCGTCAGATGTATGAATAAGTTGATTTCCAGAGTTTTGAGTGATAATGGTTCAACTATTAACATATGTCCTTTCGCTAACCTCCTAGCTATGGGAACTGACATTGGATAGATTCATGAAAGTCATGTCAGGGTTAGAGGTTTTGACGGGACACAAAAGAAAGTCATTGGAGAGATTGATCTACCATTGCAAATTGGACCTGTTGAGTTCATTGTGGAATTCCAAGTGTTGGACATATCTGCTAGTTACAATTTATTACTTTGAAAGGCAATGGATTCACATAGCTGGTGCAGTCCCTTCTACTCTGCTCCAAACTTTGAAATTTGTTTAGAACCATCAGGAAATTGTTGTTCATGAAGAAGGTAAAACCTCGATATATCCTGAAAAATCAGTCGTTGTTATTGAAAGTATGGAAGAGTTGGATGGGTTTGTATTCCATATTAGGGAAATTATGTGTGCTACCCAAGCTGAAAAGGAAAAATTTCCACGTGCTCTTATGATGGTGGCTTGGGAAATATTGAAGAATGGTTTTATCCCCATTCAAGGTCTTGGAGCGAGATTGGATGGAATAGTGGAACCAATTCAATTGTCTGGCTAGAAATACACCTTTGGTCTTGAATAAGAGCCTACTCCTTCTCATCGATCTAATCTCAAAAGGAAAAGTGACATTCCCTTACTATAACCCATCCCACTTTTGAATCAGTCATTTTCCAAGGCGTTCATTGCACAAGAATCAAAGGAAGCTGCTGATGATAACCTCGTGAAAGGACTCAAAAACCTTGAAGAAGTTGAATGTAATATGATTTTGGAGGATTGCACCGAGGCCCCAACCATATGGAATGTTATGCCTGGAGATGCTTTGAAAAAATGGACTTATAACCCATCCCCGGTTCTCTGGGAATCTTGGTAGAAGATGGCATTAAAATTAACAAAACAACATGATTCAAATTGAGGCCTGAATCGTTTTTTTTGAATTTGATGTGTTTTTCCTCAATCTTTTGAAAAGCTTAAATGTCAAATCTAAGTTACATTTTACTGCTTTAAATTTTAAAATTTGGTCTTGATTATTTATTTTATTTTATTTTTTCTTCTCTCTTTAGTAAGTAAACTAATAAATCTGTTGATGTCAAGAATGTGACATGTAATGAAACAAGCGAACAAATCCCCAACAGTGAACAAACTTTTGCAGAATATGAAGAAGATATGCAGCCTAAAGAGTTGACTAAGGAGTTTGAATATTTTGAGGATAAAGAAAATCCAAATTTGGATGAAGCTGAGACGATAAATTTAGGAGATTCAGAATTGTTGAGGGAAATAAGAATTTGTGTCCATTTGACTCCTAACCAAAGAAAAGAACTTATTGATATTTTGAGATGATATATGGATGTTTTCGCATGGTCTTATGATGATATACCAAGTCTAAGAACGGACATTGTTTCACATAGATTGCCAACTGATCCCTCTTGCCCCCAGTAAAGCAAAAGCTGAGAAAGATCAAGCCTAATTTGAGCTTAAAAGTTAAGGAAGGAGTCTCCAAGCAATTTGATGCCAACATCATTCGAGTCACCAAGTATCCCACATGGTTGGCTAACATAGTACCAGTGCCAAAGAAAGATGGAAAAATAATAGTATACATAAATTATAGAGATCTCAACAAGGTTAGCCCGAAGATTGATTTTCCTCTCCTTAACATTCACATACTTATTGATAATTGTGCAAAGCATGAGTTGCAGTCATTTATTTATTGTTTTGCAGGATATCATGAAATTCTAATGGATGAAGAAGATGCGGAAAAAACAGCATTCATCACGCCTTATGGAGTATATTGTTATCGGGTAATGCCTTTTGCACTAAAAAATGCAGGGGTAACATATATGAGAGTTATGACTGTCATATTTCATGACATGATTAATAAGGAGATTGAAGTCTTGTGGATGATGTTATTATCAAGTCACAGAAAAGTTCAGACTATATAACCGATTTGAAGAAGTTCTTTGACAGATTAAGGCGATAAAATTTGAAATTAAATCCATCAAAGCGTGCATCTCGTGTCCCTGCCAGGAAGTTGTTGGGTTTCATAGTGAGTAGAAAAGGGATAGAATTAGATCCTTCAAGGATAAAGGTTATTCAAGACTTGCCTCCTCCAAAGAGTTGAAAGGATGTAATGAGTTTTCTTGGTCGTCTCAACTACATTAGTCAATTTATTGCACAATCAATTGTAATTTGTGATCCAATCTTCAAGTTGATGAGGAAAGATGATGCTACCAAGTGGACGGAGAATTTTCAGAAAGCTTTTGATAGAATCAAGGAGTATTTATCTAATCCACCGATCTTAGTAACCCTAGAATCAGGAAGACCATTGTTGTTGTATTTACCTATGTTTGATAATGCATTTGGATACGTGTTGGGATAACATGATGAAACTGGAAAAAAGGAGCAATACATATAGTACTTGAGAAAAAACTTCACTCATTATGAAGCTCGGTATACTTTATTGGAGTGCACTTGTTGTGATTTGACTTAGGTTGCACAAAAGTTAAGACATTACTTATGTGCGTCTACCACTTCTCTTATCTCAAGGATGGATCCGTTCAAGTACATCTTTCAGAAGCCTATGCCTATTGGGAGGATAGCGAAGTGGCAAATTTTGCTATGCAAATTCAACATTCTTTATATCACTCAAAAGGCCATCAAGGGACAAGCGCTAGGTGATCATCTCTCTTAAAACTTATTTCCCTTATGAAGAGGTTTGATTTATTGGAAAGGATATTTCAGAATAATATCCCGGGTGGAGATTTTTTTTTATGGTGCTGCGAACTCCAAAGGAGTCGGTGCTGGAGCAATGCTAATTTCAGCATCAGGCTAACATTATCTTATTACAACAAAGTTTAGATTCATGTGCACCAATAATATGGTAGAGTACGAGGCTTGTGTTCTTGGACTTAGAATGGTTGTTGATATGAACATACAAGAATTGTTGGTTATAGGTGATTCAGACTTATTCAGTCATCAGGTTCAAGGCGAATGGAGCACCAAGAATGTGAAGATACACCTATATGTGCTTTGCGTGAGGGAATTGTGCAAGAAATTTGTCAAGATAGAATTCAAGCATATTCATCGAGCACATAATGAGTTTCCATATGCTTTGGCAACCCTGGCTTCTATGATTAAACATCCAGACAAGAATTACATAGATCCAATCAAGGTCAATGTGCAAGATCAACCGGCCTATTATTTCCATGCAGATAATAACCAGACGAAAAGCCTTGGTACTATGACATTAAGAGGTATCTCGGAGGAGGAGACTATCCAGAAGGCGTAAACAATGTTCAAAAGAGGACACTTCAGAGACTCGCAAATCACTTTTCCTAAGTAGAGAAATCCCTTATAGGAGGACTCCATATTTGGGATTATTAAGGTGTGTAGAGAAATCCCTTATAGGAGGACTCCATATTTGGGATTATTAATGTGTGTTAACTATCAAGAGGCAGACAAGTTAATTGAAGAAATACATGGGGGTACATGTGGGCCACACATGAATGGTTTTACTTTGGCAAAGATGATTCTACGAGCTGGATATTTCTGGATGACCATGGAAAGTGATTGCATTCGTTTTGTGAGAAAGTGTCATCAATGTTAGACTCATGGTGATTTGATTCGAGTTCCACCGAATAAGCTAAATATGACGAGTTCTTCTTGGTCGTTTCCACCTTGGGGTATGGATGTCAGTGGTCCTATTGAACCAGCCACCTCAAATGGACACAGGTTCATTCTTGTAGCTATTGATTACTTCACAAAGTGGGTAGAAGCATCTTAATACAAGTCTGTGACAAAGAAGGTGGTGATAGATTTTGTCCGCAATAACATCATTTGTAGATTTGGATTCCCTGAGTCAATTAGTACAGATACTGGAGCTAATCTTAATAACAGTTTGATGCATGAAATATGTGAGAAATTCAAATTTATTCACCGCAATTACACTCCTTATCGACCTCAGATGAATGGAGTAGTTGAGGCAGCCAACAAAAATATCAACAAGATATTGCGGAAAATTATTGATAACTACAAGCATTGGCATGAGAATTGGCCATTTTCCCTTCTTGGCTACCGCACCATGATAAGGATTTCGATCGGGGAAACCCCTTATATTTTGGTTTATGGAACAGAAGCAGTGTTACCAATGGAAGTTGAGATACCATCTTTGAGGATCATCCAAGAAGCCGAGTTAAGTGATGCCGAGTGGACGCAAAATCGGTATGAACAATTGATGCTCATTGAATCTTTGAGGATCATCCAAGAAGTTGAGTTAAGTGATGCCAAGTGGACGCATATTCGGGATGAACAATTGATGCTCATTGATGAAAAGAGAATGAATGCAGTTTGTTATGAGCAACTTTATCAATATAGGATGACCAAAGTTTTCAACAAGAAAGTAAGATTGAGAGAGTTTGAACCGGGACAATTGGTGTTGAAGTGAATATTCCCGCACCAAGATGAAGCTAAGAGGAAGTTTGCACCAAATTGACAAGGACCTTACATGGTTCACCGAGTACTAACCATAGGAGATTTGATTCTAGTAGAAATGGATGGTAAGATATGGCCAAAAGCCATCAATGCAGATGTGGTTAAGAGATACTACATCTAGAAGTTTCTATTTCATTTTTTTATGTAATGTTTTTTGTCATGTATTGAAAACTACATTTTGACCTGATTCCCTTGGCGGGGATACATAGGAAATCCACACCAGATTTGGTATTTTAGTAGGATTTTGAAATTTCCTTTTTATGTAATATGAATTACGCTTGGTCTGACACCATTGGCGGGATACGAGGCGGCCTATATTGTCTTCGGTCACTTTATTAGAAGTTTTTCAATTCTCCATTAGCTTTGTATGTAACGAACTACGTATGGCCTAATTCTGTTTTGATACGTAGACAACTCGAGGAGGGTTTGACCCCTTTATTTCAATTTTTAAATGTATTCGTAGATTTTGTTTGGCTTGATGCCCTTGATGGAATAGTAGGCAACCTATAGAAGGTTAGATCTCATCGTGACAGAATGACAACATATCTCTTTCGTCAAAAACTAGGACAGCTTTTAAGGGTGTCATTGTAAGAAGATATCCAGAAATTTGAAGAGTATATGGTCAATCAAATCACCCGACAGAAGAAAGACTTCAGATAAAGGACGTTCGATTTGTTTCATGACATGTCACAATCTGAAGTTCGACTCTTTATTGCTATATATATGTAGATAATTTTATCTTATTTTTTATATATATGATTTTCAATCAAATGTTTTCTTGTTATTTATTTTCTTATTATTCATTAACCAAGATTTAGAATAGACGGGTGTTACGAGTCCAAGCAAAGCTAGAAGAAAGAATTATGAAGAGCCAGACCTTCAAAGTCAACGCGAAACAACCTCCCCCAAAACTTATAACTTTTCTTTTAGTGCAGGTTTGTCAGGATTAGCAAAATCTGAGAAGTCAATACCGTCTATAGCATCGAAATAACTATATGTTGAGTGGTTTGAATTACTTACTTCTAAATTTATGATTTGAAAACTTTTAAGTAAAGCTTTATAAAAATTTCAAATGTGTTGATACACAAATATTTTTTTTAACTCATTGCATATGGTTTTTCTCTGCATAAATATCTTGAAATGCACTGCACAAATGCTTTCAAGTATTTTCAAACGCACTGCACAAATACTTGGAGATATTTTCAAATGCACCATACAAATGCTTTCGGATGTTCCGCATAAATGCTTTCAAATATTTCCAAATGCACTGCACAAATGCTTCCAAATATTTTCAAATGCACTGCACAAATGCTTCATATGTTTTACAGAAATGCATATTTTCAAATGTACTACACAAATGCTTTCAAATATTAAAAAAATTCTACATGACTTTCGATTGCTTTATAATGCATTGCACAAATGCTTTTGGTTGATTGCACAGATGCTTTCAAATATACTGCACAAATGCTTTACCAGAATGCATTGCTTTGAAAGACTTCCTTGTCATAAATCACCAGGCTTAAAAAGTCTCATTCTTAAATCATTTGGCTGAAAGCCTCATATCCATAAATTATTTGGTTAATATCTCATTTTCATTAATCATCGCTGAAAAGCACCATTCTCATGAATCATCGGCCTCAAACCTTTTTTTCCATACAATTTTGCAAGATTTTATCTGGTTAAATCATTTCGGCTTGCAAGATCGCATTTTGGTAAACTCACACCAAAGAGGTGTTATTTCCATGTGTTTATCGCACCATGCTTTATGTTTAATATTATTTACTAATTGTCTTGTCAAGTTTGAGTTTTGTAGAAGTTTTAGCACAACGTGGAACTATTTCTCAACAGTAATCTGGAGCAATTTGTTGGAGACTCAAACTCACCAACAAAGATCAGGGGTCTACCTCGAACTTCATTCTCAAATACCCTCCTCGTTCTTGATACCCAATAACAACATAACTCGACACTGGGCAAACTTTATAAGCTTGCGTCTACCTTTTTTTCAAAATCCTCTGCCTCATAATTTATCTAGTGCCCCTTTCTTTTCTCGTCTCCAAGATCGCATTTCTTGGGCGGGATAAAATTGAAAATTACATCAACTTCATTTCCCCAAAACTCTTATATCGTCTCTTATCAAAGGGGGATAAGTTGTTGACACCAAATTTTGACCCTCATTTTCTGTAATTCATTATGTTTTGAGCTTCTAAATTAATTGCGTATGAAAATTATCTTTTAAAATTATATGTTCTATTTTTTTTATCTCTTTTACTTAAATAATGGATTTATTGTCACTTTATTTAAAAGTTTTGTACTTATCTAATTAATTATAAAGCCATATTTTTCGTATCTATAGTTTATATTAGTGTAAAATTGTAATATTGATATTTTCATTTTTTATAAATTGTAATTGTCATCTTATAAGATATTGCATTAGCTATTAAATTAGAAGTCAAAATTAAAGAAGAAAAGAAAAGAAAACAAATTTTCAGTCCAACTAAATTTTATCCAATTAAATGGCCCAAGAAGAAGCCCATTTCCACAACCCACTCTTACACCTTTGCACCACATAAGTGCCACGGGAGAAGCCACGTTGGCGCCACATAAGGTGTCAATGTTCCAAAACACATGCCAAACCCACGCTTGCCACAGGCCTGCCCATGCCCTTCACACCTAGCAAACGCCCTGCGACGTGTCTCTCCCCTATTTATTAGTCAATTCAAAATTAAAACTCTAAGACCCCAAATACATTGAATACCTCATTTAATCTACCTATTTTATCCTAAATACCCTTGGATTTCATAAAATAATTTATTTTTTTTCATTTGGTGTCATCAGACGCCTCTCTCTCTCTCTATCTATCTATCTATCTCTTTAGCCGAAAAAACCTGAATTTTTGACAAAGTTTTGGCCTTTGCCCCTCAAAATCCATATTTGGCTCGGCCATTTTCGAGCAAGTTCCTTCTCCCCATAGCGTGTTGCAGAAGATCGTCTACTTCTATGTTAAAAAATGTATCAAATCCTTACGCTTCAGTAGAGACTCACTATTTTGGTCATAAAAATCAATTGCTTCTGCAAAGTTTTCTGCCATGGTGTATTGTCCGAAGTTCAAGGAGTCTTGTCACTCAATTTAAAAATCAAAATCCCGCCTAAAGGATTCTCCTTGAACCCTTAATTGGTCTCTATAAATATCAAGCTTAGGCATTCGTTTTAAGACATGTTTCCTGTCAATCACAAAACACACAACCAAAAACTGCCTAAAACATCTCTTTTACTCTTGGAAATATCCAACTTTTTATTATTTTTCATTGTCCTTGGATTCTTGTGCGTGGTCGAGTCCGAATTAGTCCAACTTTAGGGGTATATCCGAGGTCAAAAGAGCTTCAGTTCATTGCCCCGAAACAGGTGAAAATCTGACTCGAATCTCTTTATTTTATCATTAGAAATCACATTTTTTAGGATCTTCGTTTTACGGGATGTTTGTTCATGTTGTTAGCTTTCTTTTATGTTGTGAATTTTGGACAGTATATAGTCTATGATCCATGATCATTGTTCTGTTTTGTATTAAGCTATGATTATGGAAGTTAATCCCTCCCTCTTAGATATATATTCAATAGACCTTATATCTATAGCCAAGGTAAAAACCAAGGTTAAAGAATGTATTTGAACCCTGTTTTGAGATCTGTACAAAGATTGAATTTATTTTAATTTTCGTGTTTTAGACGTTGAGCTTCAAAACTGTTTTCTTTTCATGATTACATGAATTAGTTTTGTTTCTTTTACTCCAGATAGATGATCATGTGATAAGAGTTTTCAGTTCATGTTTTTCAATACAGAAAACTTGTTTTAAAAGATATAGTTTTGTTGTGTTTTAGTTTTTTTTTTTTAAATGATGAGCAGATCATGTTGTTTTGTGAAGAATGTAATTTTTGATTGTGCAAATGTCTCAAATGCAGCTTGCCTCTTCTTTCCTATACCCCATAAAAAATATGAGTTTTAAAAATTCTTTATTAATTCTATTAGTATATATATATATATGTGCGCGCGCGCATATGTTGTTTTGTGAAGAATGTAATTTTTGATTGTGCAAATGTCTCAAATGCAGCTTGCCTCTTCTTTCCTATACCCATAAAAATATGAGTTTTAAAATTTCTTTATTAATTCTATTAGTATATATATATATATGTGCGCGCGCGCATATGTTGTTTTGTGAAGAATGTAATTTTTGATTGTGCAAATGTCTCAAATGCAGCTTGCCTCTTCTTTCCTATACCCATAAAAATATGAGTTTTAAAATTTCTTTATTAATTCTATTAGTATATATATATATATATGTGCGCGCGCGTGCGTGTGTGTGGCATGTGTAAATTTGAAGTACTGTGACTTGGTTATTCATGTTGGCATGTGCTCAAAATATATGTGATTTGGTTATATTTAGTTGGTCGCCTGCTGCAAAAAATGTGTCTTGTCCGACGTTTCCATCTTCTTGTTCCAGAGTGGTATATTTATTGTATGATTTTGCTTGGTTTATTTATATATTAAATATCATCTAAAGTTAAATCGTCTTACTAATCTCTTTTTCCTTTCTCTGTTATACATGTACACTGGGGAGGGGAGCGCGTTTGGAGTTGCGATATGACTCCATCTCTATCCAAATTAGAGAAGCGACCAATATATGCATTTTAGCTCGTCTAGAATGACTTTCTCCTCCCAAAAGAAAATCTCGCACTTCCTCCTTATCTCAAAACTTTACATTTTTATGCATACATATATGTTGTTATCGTTGACTAACGATTTGTACATTTTTTTGCACTTATATTTGTGTTTGTTTCAATTTATATTTGAATTTATGCAAACTAACGAACTAAGAATGTTAGCAAGACATAGTCACTCACCTTCCCCTCATTTAGATATTGGGTTTGGTATATTAATTTGGCTTAGAATAATGCCCTTTAA